ATTCGCAACAAGCAGCGAAGCAGCTGAATGTGTTTGTCAACCGAGTCTCCATGAAGTTCATGGAGCTAATCAACCACGCCATGGAACGAGAGTGTCGAGCCCCAAAAGACATGCTGACTCCAGCCAGAATCAATTGGCTCAATCCCAGTATGCTGTCCTTTCTTGCTGGAAAGTCATGGGGGCCTGAAAAGAAATGATAATCGAATGGGATGAGAAATGATGTGAATGCGACAAAAAAGGATGTAACATGTAAAAGGATCGAAACATAGTGACTATAGTAGCTTTTTCCCCGAGTCTCAGATTATGCCATGAATCCATTGCAAGCTCGCTCTTGTTGCCAAAAGAGGATGTTTGCTTGTTCTCAGTTTGTTGCACTTGTTGGGCTGTTCTCAAAGCAAAAATGTGGTCCTTTGAAGGTTGCACTGTGCCTTAAAGCATCTTAAAGCCCTGAAGTGCTGCTGGGTTCGTGTTTCTCTTCTCGGTTGCCCAGCACATGAAGAGCAAATGGGTGGAGATCTTCCGCGGAAAGGCGAGGGCAAGGAGGGCGAGGGCCCACTGATGGGATCCTACTGATGATCACATTTTGGAACTTGTGTGGAATACAGTTAGTAACAAGAAGCTACTAGGTTAGAGGCCATCGGCCATCGCTATTAGGTTGGAGGCCATCGCTACTAGTAGCAAGAAGCTACTACTGTAGTATTTCATTTCTGGGCTTTTTTGGGATCCGGAGGGGAGACATTCGTCATTCCAAGTTTGCATATGAGGAAAAGATGGGGGGCATGGCAAGCATTGCAAAAGGCAAGCATTTTCTGCGAAAAGCCACTGACAAATCAAAATCATGAACAGCCCACCTCCTAGGGAATGTTTTTCCATCCTGTTTCCTCTTTGAACCACGGAAGCATAAGTTTATAATAGTTTATATATATATATATACACATAATTTAGAATGTCAAACAATAGTGTATATATAATATATAATATCGCTTATACCTATATCAAGTCACCTGGTCCTGCCCACATGAGCCCAAACGGGTTGGGTCTTTTTGTGCTCCAAAGCGACAAGTCTTATCACCTGCGTGTACAAAATATCTGCTAGGACACATGTTCCTGCGTCCGAGTCGGTTGCTTTGCTGCACATTTTCGCACATGTTCGAGCGCGACTCGACTCTCAGGGTAAGGGCACGGCAGCGGTCGTGTTCGCTACTGCAGATGAAGCAGCACAAGCAATCCCACTGCTGAATGGGAGCGGACGGCGCAGCGATGTGGATCATGGTATCATGGTGATACGGACAAATGTAGTGCAAGAATGTGCATAGGACAAAGGCAACAAAAACATGTCCAGTGTTGTCACATTGGATTAGCTCCCACCATCAACTTGGAAATGGTTTGGACGTCATAATTTCGCACCTCGGAGAAAGTTGGGGCTGCGCGGGGTGGTTGGAATACCCGCATTGTGCAGAGACAACATTCAGAATGGGAAATAACATCACCATGCCCTTTCAGGCAGTTGATCATGCTGTTTTGCCTATCGATGCCTGGGCATGGTATGGGAATGTATGGGAGATGATGACATTGTTCTGAACGATGGACATCCCCAGGAGCTCAATCGGTGGACAATCCCTTGTCGCAGACAGCTAGAGCCTCAGTGAGTCGAGGACAAGTGCTTGTCTGTTGTTGAACAAAGACGATCTCCTGTCGTTCCCTATTTTTAAGGGGGGGTAGGCCGCTAGAGGTGAGGTAGGTAGCTAGTAGTAGCTAGAGGTAGCTAGTACCTGCAAGTAGCTACTACTGACATGACGCAGGATAGCTCGCGCTAGAGATTTGGTTCCTAGATTTTTAGGGAAACTTAATTGGCCAACATACACACACCACAGTCACACACACAGTGTGTGTTTCGCCCATTCCCCAGATAGCTACTGGGGTTCGTACTAGTATAGGACAGGAGAAAGAGGTGCTTGTGTGCGCTTTGGAGCTTGGGTGCTGGGATCTGCAGTGTCGCTGCCAGATGTCTATGGCAGTGCAGCCTGGGTGCTGCTGCCGCTTCAGGGGCTGCTGCTGCTGCTGCTTAAATATGTTATGCTATTTGGGGTCTATGCTGCGCTGACAGAATTTTCTCTCCAAGCAGTTCATCCTCTAACGCGCCCAGTGGCACAGGCAATTATGAGCAGGTAATTGGCGGATGCAAGAACCTGCAGTTCATTGAATCATTCCATCGAAAGAAATGAGTTATCACTGACTTCCTGGTCAGGGGGAGCATCCAGTGCCGTTGCTGCAGCTCAGGTTGGGCACGCACCCCAAAGGAGTGAGTCGGACGGAGATTTTGGCACAACAGAAAAGGTGCTGGCTGAAGAGGAAGTCGCTGACAACTTGTTCACCCCATTGCTGTGTACATATAAGCGCACAACTATTGTAGACCTGCGTGTTTAGGATTTTGGTGAGAGCATTCGGATTTCATTGTGGATGGCCATTTATTATAGCATTGACAACTGAGTTATGAGAGATTATTTGAACCCAATCACATTCGCCTCAATGAATTTCTGGAATAGAGATGAATAGACAACAGTCCATCTGTACCAAGCATTTGTGGATCTGCAAAACAAGATGCAGTTGTGAAGATTGAGATTCAGCAACACGGTCATGTCCTTGAATTGGCAGCAGTGAGATCTTGCTGCATTTCTTGCACAATTGGCCTGACAGCAAGACACCAGGCATCACCAGGCAGACATGCCCAAGAAATGTGCGCGGTTTCTCCCGAACAGTCTTCAGAAGTTGGTGAACCTTCGGTTTGGTTTATGGAAAGTTTATGGACAAAAAATAAGTTCCCCAATCACAGCAATCCTAACGGGAATTGATTGGGCTCGACTGGCGAATAGCATATAATATATTATATATATATGGATATATTACACAGAAACCTCCACACACAGGCCAAGACAGCGAATACATGCAAATACTTGAAGTGAGGCATCCGCGAATACCCTGTTTTTGACCCATCTTGGTCCCTTCCAAAAGCGGACTCCTGGTGAGCTTGAGCGTGGCCATGCCGAAGAAGCCAGTGTTGGTGACACTCGAGGAGTTCCAAGATTTGAAGACTCAGCTGGAGGAGATCGGCGGGGTGCCGAAGTGGAAAGTTTGGTTTTCGAAGAGCAGAGGTGATTGCAGTTGTTGGTTATTTGGACATTTCAATGACCATGAGATAATGATATATTCAGCATTTTGAACAGCAACGTTCTTTCTAGTTCCCGGCCACATTATACTACGTAACTACAAGAGAACCATTCATGAAGCCAGACATGAGAAGCAATGACTTTTCTCAGTGTGTCAGCCACAGTCTTTGGCTTTCGCCAGTCTCAAATCGCTGGCGTGCAGAAAGAGCTGCGTGCCAAGGCAACCTGGCTCATGAACTAGTTGCACTCAATGCATATGAATTGGATCTTCAAACTCATCCGTTGAAAGACAAACACATCACACGAATCATGAGATGATTTTGAGGATAGATCATAATTATAGACTATCATAGACTGGACTAGATACTGTCAGAAACACCTGCATAAACACACGGTCGCAGGTTCATGTCGCTGAAAGGGGGGTTGGATGGCTTTGGTGTTGTTTGCCGGGAAGAGAGTTGCAGTGATTGTCTTACAACTTGCAACCTGTAAATAAATGTTGGATTGGTTGACAAGTTGGAACTATGACCTGAAGCCAGCCCGGCTGGACAACCCATGGATTTTCGCAGAGGTGCATGCCTGTGACACTCACATCGCTGAGCTCGAGGTTGGGGGGCCTAGGGCAAAAAAGATTAAAAGCAACTCACTAACATGGAAGTGTAAAATGGCCCCTTGGAAATGATGGGTGGCGCGGCAAGCAAGCCCACCGCCAGACCTGACTGCTGGCATGAGTGACAAAATGGCCCCTTGGAAGACTACTGTCCTTTGCAAACGGTGGCTTTTTCACTTCCATGTTAGTGAGTCGGAGTGTATATAGTCGAGCGCAGGAATTGTCTATTTCCATCAGTGTACGATGGATGGATCATGACTGGAATTCGCGTGACGAGGGCGTTCGGCTCTCGACCGGCCACGGTTCCACGACCGATCCCGGTTGGACCGGGAACTCCCGGTCGACCGGTACAAGTCGGAGCGAAGACGGTGATTGAAACGAACCGATTCGCCACAGTCATCCCTTCAGGATGGAAAAGGTGCGTTTTTAGGCGTTTTTGTATGTTTTTGTTATATTTAGGGATCTCAACTGAAGTCTTTGTGCACGTTGAAGTCTCAAATGATTTGGGGTCCGAACTGAATGTTATTTATGCACATCCTGCAGGCGAAATATCGCAGACACGTCGTACAGTTGGTCGCAAAGAATGCATCCAGACAACCATGCGGGCTGCCCGTGGAGGTCGCCAAGAAGGAACTGGCGCAAGGCTTGGATGTGGCCGCTTGGGAAGGAAACGATCGTAAACGGTGACGACGACGACCTGTGTTGGGGAATAACAGGGGTGATTCTTCAGTTGCATTGGCCTTGGTGGACATGGCGTCGGAAGGGTTCTTACCGTCACCACCGGTGCCACGGCCACGTGGGCCACCGAGGCCAAAGAAGCCACAAAACGTGTTGCAGAAGATGCGCAGGTCGGATGGGCTGGAATGGGACGGACTGCGACCGGAACGCCTTGAAAGGATGCAGAACATAAGGCAGATGATCAGATAGAGACTTAGTCATTCCCAACATCGTGCTTAAGCTGAGCTTGGATCCAAAGGTCACAAGGAGATGTCGCGCTCCACTCCAACCTTTGGGCATGTGCAAATGAAGGCAATCTTTTTTGCTGCTTCTAGCAGGTCAGGTCAGGTCAGGAGGGCGTCCACGTGACTGAAGAAGTCCAATGGACAAAGTCGACATGGAATGCGCTGCACGCTGACTGCACATGGTCTTTGACAAAGGGCTGTGGCGGCAAGGGATGCGTGCGCAAACGCTTGACGCTGGACTTGACTCCTTCTGCGAGTTGTCGGCGCACGGATGCATACCTGATGAAGCACAATGGCCTCAAAAGCTTCCACACCATGATCGATCAATTCGATGAGAAGAGTGCCACATATGCCAAGAACTGCCAAGAAGCCAGCAAATTCAACCGAAATTGTGCACGCCGCGAGGCACTGATGCTGGATGCTTTCAAGTTGATCTCAAGGGCACAAGCAGACAAGACCTTTATGTCCCAGCTCACAGAACAGGAAGCGGCTGCAGTCAGTGCTGGTTTTGAAAAGATCTTGACCAACCTTGTCCCTTCAGATGAGGACAGAGAGGTAATCCAGGAATTGCTGAGGAAGATGAAAGGTCATGGCCCTGGCCTGAACTGCAGAAAGATCCACAGGGTACCTTGGCAAAAACCATGTCTTTAGCCCAGAAGTTTCTGGAGGGCTCACCAGAAGAGAAGGAAGCAGCAAAAGAAGAAATCTCGGCGTTGCCCGACACAGTACCAGCACTCTCAGCTGAAGAGGAGGCTGAGGCCAAAAAGAAACTTGCAGAGAATGAAAACGAGTTCGAGCAGAATGGAGCAGGCATTGACCTAGCTTTGAACGAGATTGACAAGAAGACCAATGAGGCTGTGGAAGAGGAGGCTGAGCAGGCCGAGAATGAGCAGTCTGACAGTGGCTTTGCCTTGGACCTTGGAAATTGTTCAGGATCCCCCCACAGGTGTACAGGTTACGAAGTTCATCGTGAACAACTTTGCCGAGCCCATCCTCACCACCCTTGCAGTCAGCATCATTCCGGCGATTCTGCTTGTGGCTGCTGCGGACAAGATCATTTTATTGTCAATGTGCTTCATGGTGCTGTTCGTGCTGTTCTCTTTCTCAATTTGCCTTATGGCCGAGACTCCGACTTTGGAAAGTGCCTGAAGCATGTCATGGGCTTCCCATACTATGGAGCAAGTTCCTCGCCAAAGGGGCTTGGCGCATCTCCAAGAAACTCTTCTGCCACCAAGAAGGCTTACCGCAAGATTCGCGGAAAGACCAACGCCACTCAGAAGGTGGCAGGATTTGAAACAGATGAAATTCCTACCCCAACTTCATGAGGACGCTTGTACTTCATTGCAGGATGGAATCAGGGTCCGGATGCTCTAGCGGCCTTTTGGGGCCTGGCGTGTGAGGGATGACCTCAAAATCATGTCCTTTTTGCCTTAGATTCGATCTGATCTCAAGAGATCTTGAGAACAAGCCCTTGATAATAATAAGCAAGCAGCAGATGCTTGACTCTTGTGTTTGCTCTCTACGACCAGCCGCAGGCGCACACGACCAGCCGCTACGATGGCTTGGAGCAGCGCTCCGCAGCGCAGCTGGGGCAACTGCGAGTGGAGCTCAAAGCCGCCGATGAGGATTCTTGTTTGTGAACCTGGTGGATGGAGGCCATCGCTAGTAGGTTGGAGGAGGTCATCGCTATTAGGTTGGAGGCCATGGCTATTAGGTTGGAGGCCATCGCTAGTAGGTTGGAGGCCATGGCTATTAGGTTGGAGGCCATCGCTAGCAGGTTGGAGGCCATCGCTAGTAGGTTGGAGGAGGTCATCGCTATTAGGTTGGAGGCCATCGCTATCAGGATTCTTGTTTTCTTAGGGTGTTGACTGGGGGCCCAGTGGGGTGATCACATCACCGAGAAGCTGGCATGTCAGACATAGGGAGTCAATCATCCAAGCCGGATGCCTTGATGTTGGAATAGGTCACGAAAGCTAGCCTCAGCTAGCTGGAGTCGCTCTTGCTTTAGAAGGAATTGAGAGGGTGGACGGCAGCCTCAAAGACCTCCAATCATTCAAACATATACAGTAATTCAATGTGATGGACCCCCCCCTCCCAGGGGTTCAACTCCCACTGTTGGCGTCGTTACTGGCTGAGTGTGACAGGTTTGATGCTCTCTTGGAGATGGGCATGATCTTCTCATCCAGCAGCTGAACCTTCTCACCAAGCTGCCTCATGAACACGTTCCCATAGTATGCCATCACCATGCCCATGCCTCTAATGCCACTCATCATCAGCAATGCCAACATTGCAATCTGCAATCTGAGCTTTAAATTAATACATGATTCTGCTTCTGATTTGCTTATATATATATATACTCGACCTTGATCTATTGCAACCCCAGGTTGTTGGACCATGGCTCCTATGCTTTTCCATCAAAGACCTGATGTTGAAATCCCATGAACCCATGCCATGAACAACAAGACCCAACTACATCTCATGGTTTCAATCCTGATGGCCATCCACCCAGCCTTCATGGACACCGCTTACCCCCACCACCAGAAGCTCCTCATGCTCATCGAACAGCTGCATCAAAGATCTCATCAAGGAATACCTCAGTGGATAATGGATGAAACTCATGGTTCCTATCAACCCCCATGGTTCCTATCAAAATCTAATCCCAACCCTGCTTTTCAACCCGCGCTGGGCGCAGTGGCTAGCTTTCGGTTCACCCTCCTGGCCTCAATGAATCGTGTGTATTCACTATTCACTTGTCCCGAGCTTTGTCATCGGGAGTGACAACGTCAACGTTTACCCCACGTCCTTTGCATGGACATGGTATTTGCCGGCCAAGGGCAAGGGAGCCTTTTCTGCCATCGAATGGACGATCCATCTATACTGCCGCAGGAGTTGCAGCGGCAGCTGACAGCTTTGGAGGCCGATTTTAGGGATGTGCTGCGGAGGTTTTTAGACGTGGCGCGTTTCTAGACGTGTCTTGGGTCCAGAATCATCGACATGTTGGAAGATCATGAAGCGTTACACCAGTATCGTGAGAGTGTGGGAAGAACCCCCTGTCATGTATAAATATAATGTTTAGGAGCACCACGGAGATCCTCAGCGCGTTCATCGGGAGCTTCACCTGCTTCCACTGTGCGTCCTTCAGGCGGAACTCCGTGCGCTGGTGGCTGAGGAGCTGAAAGTCTTGTGTGATCGCGTGGACGAGGCCGCAGCTTTCAGCGGAGGATTGATGCATGTTTAACAGAATAAACGGGGAAGGGGTTTGGCGGGAAACAAGGGAAGAGTTGATGGCAAAGGCATGAACTGCCTATCACTTGTGTGCATGAGCATGGCTCTGACATGACAGGTATGTTACAGGCTCCACTCAAGAGCCCTAGAGGTATGTTTCTTGTTCTCGGTGTTTGGATTTGGAAAGATGCATGCATCTATTGGTTTGTATGTGAAACCGGCGCAGCGCCTTGAACACATCTTGAGAACAGCGCTTCCGAAAACGTCTAGTGACTGGATGTGATTGGTGATCTTGCCCGATATATGATCAGCTTCAAACCTGAGAGAACGTTCAGCTCAATCAAAAACGGTCTCAGTCAGTGAAAGTGCGGAAAACAGTCTCTGCCTGCGAGCACCAAGTGGTTGCTCAGTCAGATGCACGTCTCGTGACAGGAGCTTGCCCTGGCTGGCCCCTCAGATTCTGAGTTGGTCGGCTACAGAAACCTTTAGCAAGGAACGGCTACAGTAGGACGCTCATAGAAGAAACATGCCGAGAAGAACCCTCAAGCAAATAGCCAATGTGAAAGGTTCTAGTGACCCTCAAGCAAATAGAAATGTGAATGCATGTGAAATCTGTTTATGCTCATCATGTGTTCGAATTGGGTTCTTCTCTTGTTTGCAGGCCCTTTGACCCATTACCTGCGGATGGGCAGGGAGTTGTGGGGCCAAACTAGACATACTAAACCTTGAACTGTAGCGGTCCGTGATAGATATTTTGTTTGCGAAAGGTAAACGGTATATCATACATGGGACTTGTATGTTTTGAGGGCTTCAATCGATGTGCTTGAATGTTCAAGGACAAACTACTATGGGCCTTTCGTGATGTCCTATACATGGCTACTTGGGGGATCTATTCTTGTTGATCATTCTCCCATGTGAGTCATTGTGTCAGATAATGCAACGACCCCCCCATGAGTGCTTGTACTCCTGGGTTGATTTTTAGTTTTTGTGTGATAGATTGCATCCCCTTGTGACCCATCTTGTTTATGGTCGGGGACGGACGGGGAGTCCTGGCATGGGGATCCGGGTGTTGTTCTCAGGTGCGGGAGGAAGTGGAGGAGGCAGTCAAGGGTTGCTACGACCATTCACGTGTGGGGCAACCCGGAGACAGACGCCAATTGGCGAGAGACTAGAATTGGAGCTGAAGCTCCAGCTGGACTTTCGAGCTGATTGTGAAAGGCTTGGGACTTTCGCGTCTCAAGTTCCACGTCAGGGAAAGGACATGAAAAGGCCTCGTCTTGAGCAGAAAGAAGCAGAACTGGGCCAAGACAAGAAAGACTACCGCTTTTGTGCACGAGGTTGAGCTGCAGAAACTCTGTTTGTGCCTCAGACAGTCTAGTGAAGTGAGCCAGCCAATGTATTCTGTTTGTCCTGATGTGGCAAGGGAAACCAGCAAAACCGTGGGGGACCACCAAGCATTGATACGTTCCGGACCAACTTATATAATGACTTTAAATGACTTAAATGCATTTTAGAGATCGTGTGAAGCATTGGAAAGTGGTAGGGGACCCAAATTTGTGGCCAGTCGCGATAGATATTCACTTCGTTTGTCGGATACTCCAAGAAGGCAGTTCATCTGATTTGCCAGTTCCCCGGCCGCTCGTCCGTTCGTCTCCACCGCCGCCCACGGGACCCACCGTTTCGAAGCCACCGGGCGGTGTTTGAGGTGAACTGCTGGCGAAGAGCATCGATGAGAACAAGCAAGAGATGTTGGTCACAACAACTGAGGCTGTGAAGGAGCTCTCCGCCTAATCCTCTGAGATGGTGCTCTTTGTTGCCTGGTACCCAATAAGTGGAAATAGATTGGGGCAAGCCTGGCCAGGCTCTGTTGGGCAGGTTGAAGGAAGACGTTAGCTCAGCAGTCGGATCAATGATAGACATTACATGGGTTATTATAACATTGATTTTATGCATAGTCAATGATAATGTCCATTATCCATAATAAATCCATGCAATCTCCATCCATAAAATCCGGATCTTATGCATAATCTGTCATGTCTTATCGACAGAGATCGACGACGGGGCGGGAGTGTGAAATCACGGGCTCGTCACTGCAGCATTGAAACGATCGGAGAGGAACCACAGCAATTTCCATGGTAGTGAGGCAGGTGAAAACACACGTGCGCACACACACACACACACACCAACACGCCAGGAGGTTAAGGACCTCATTCAGAAACTCGCAGAGAAGGAGCAACAGGCGAAGCAACCATGAGCTGTCGGGACATCATCCAAAGTGCAAGAAAAGGTCGCATGCATTTGTTTTGGGGAAATGTTAGATCATAGTTGGATCCGTCAAGCAACTGCACTACATCAGATACACACTCCCTGATAGAATCCATGGTGGGTAGTTAAGTGGAACACGCATCGCTTTTGGGTTCAGATGACCATGAGTTTTCCGAAGACCAAACAGGTGGTGCCATCCACTTCCAATTGAGTGACTCGGGGTGTATCATCTCTTGTTTCCAAATGGAAGGGGGAAACAGCTTGTGCCCGATGGGGTGTTTCCGGCGGCATCGAGGCACCGTTCGTTCGGTGTCAGGTGTCGGGCCAGCGCTTCCTGAAAAACGGATGTTGGAAGACGTTGTTTCGAAGGTCTCGAGAAGAAGCGGGATCAACAAACATAATAGAATTATATTACAGTAATTATTAAAGATTATTAAAGTATGAATTATTTATAACTATAATTAGATATAGATTTCGCTATACATATTTCTAATAGAATTTGTAGAGATAGGCAGACTTATCGGACTTGAGAAAAGGCGGAGGGAAAAAAGAATGCGGGGTGGAACAAAGACCTTTGGGTCTCCAATTGGTCTTCCACGCTGTTTCAGAAGCTGTCCACACTCCGCGATCTCCACGCTCTCTCAGGCACGCAGCGTGGAGGAGGAACGATTTCAGCTTTCTGAGGCGGAGAAGATCCGCCAGGGATGAAACATTGGAGTGAATCCGCGTGAATCCATTTGAACCCGACCGGGTAGGGTCATGAAGGGTCCAAGGTTGGTGTAGGCGTTGCCCCAGGGATCGCTTTGCTCATCCAACGACCCATAGGCCCGACCGAGACCATCGAAGAAGACCGACCATCGCGACGGAGGCAGAGATTTGGTTGAAGATCGGCCGACTGCAAGAGCTCATCGACGAGTCTGCCACCCAGGCAGAGTTTAGGACATTGGGGATGTCATCGGCGAGGTCGGCTCTTCGGAAACTCCCTTGGACAGGACGGTCGGTCGTCAGACCACCCTTGTTATCCTTGTTTAGGCATCAAAAGTGGTCGTCAGACGACCTTGTACCCCCACTTCGCAAAGCGTGGCCACGTTTTAAGCTTTTTTGAGACCTTTGAAGTGATACAGTTGCTGACACATGCCCCCGCCACGTCGGTTGAATCGCTCAGCGGCAGAGGCAGACTTCCTCCAAACGACCAGGGAGATTGATTCCAAGTTTTCCCAGGCAATGCCATGTCAGCAGTGGTCGTTTTCATGGTGTTTGATGTTTTTGCTTGTGTTTGTTTGACTCAGAGAGGAAAGGATCCTCACCAAAAAACCGGGACACACCTGGGAGTGAGAGGAAACGCTCAGCATCTCAGTGCAAAACACCAGCTGTGAGCAGATGTGGGCCTCGTCTACCTGATGTAGCGCGGCCAGATTTCGAAAGAAAAGAAGAATCACATGATCCGAAACAAGGTGATCCGTTGTTTGAACCTTATTTTCAGTTCTGCATGGGCAAAGCCCCTCGTATAGCGTAGAAACACCTCAATCCTTTCGTCGGAGGCGATGGACTTGGCCGATGGTCGGCTGAGGGTCGGGCCCGGGACGACCGCAAGACGACCGCAAGACGACCGCGGAACGTAGTCCACTGCGTTTCATTTGGACAACGGAGTGCGAGAAGACTTGAGAAATCTTGAGAATCTAGGGCGGATGACCACTGAGCTAATCCTGTGGATGATCCAGTTGTGATTTCCTGCTGTTTGCCTCTTTGATTGGCAAATCCACCCCGGGTGAACCACTGCAGTGGATTTTGACAGCACGAGGCTTTGGAAGACACCTCCATCCGACTTCGGTCGGGCCTTTGCGAAGTGCAGAACGTTCCCACACGGAGGGTGCGATAGTGCTGGGTGAGGAGGGAAGAGTTGTGGGGGGCCCAAACTGACTAATGTTCATCCATTTCGATTGCAGGGAAAGGGCCTTAGTTTGAGACAGGTTGGCACTGGCACATCAGATTGGTGGTCCAAATCTACCGTTTCAGGACGACTCATCTTCCCTGCGTGACCCTGATTTCGCACACGGGGCAATTGTATGCAAATGTAAATCGCAATTTTTTTGGGGCCACGGAGCGTGCTGATGAAAATGATTGAACATGTAAATCCAAGAGCCAAGAGTTGCTTGAGTTCCAAGGGTGGTCTCAAAGTAGTGAATTATATCATGTATTGTTTTATAAAGTATTATAATATATGGGAGTTGATCAAAAACCCCGTGTAAGGAGTTTTATATAAAACAGCCTTTCAGATGTTGTTAGAACCATCCGCGAAAGATTCGCGATGAGGTTCGCGAAAGTATCTTTTTTTTTTTTCCGCGAAAGATTTATCGAAGGTCATCGCTTTCATACGTTTTCCTTTCTAAGGGACTGACAAAGAATAGAAATAGGAGGCAATCTTCCGGCAGAGCTGGTGGGCGGAAGTGTCCCCATATGTCACAGACTAATGAATTGAAGCCTCAATATTTCCGTGCCCAGCCCTGGCAGTGCGTAAAGGATTCTCCGATTCCTGTCCCCACTGTCATAGACAAGCAACCTGAGTAGGCGCAGCCCTGACAGTGAGGCAACGACCTACAGCTGCTCTGGCGGGCTGTGCAGATGTTTGCGTACGGCTTCCCCGGGAAAGCGCCAGTGAAATTTTGCGAAAGATCCGCGAAAGCTTCGCGAATGTGCCGCTAAAGTCCAGGTCCCCAGCTTGAGGCCCCCCAACATTCCCCAAGCTGCATCACCCTGTGTTGGTAGCTGGGACGAGGATTGGGTTGAGTTGCGCCACAGATGCTGCAAGTGACCCTGAGTAGCTGTGGAAACATTCAACTGGTCATGCTGCAAGATGTCTGTCCCTATGACATGTTCCGGCTCATGTTAGCTAGACATGGTTGTAGGACCATGCTTCGCGATGAGGCCGCGAAAGATCCGCGAAAGCTATCTGTTTTCCGCGAAAAACTCCAGGATGAAAGATTATTGATCAACCACCATATATATATATATTTTTATGATTATATATGATATGTGTATATATGTGTGTTGTATTTGTCAATGGATTTTTAACCCTTGTAGACCATTGTGGTCCGCACAAGCGGACTCCCTCCGTGGGGGCAGGTGACCTGGGTCATCCGCGAAGCTTCCAAGAAGATTCGGAAGCCTCTGCTGGTGGTTTGGTGGCACTGACCAAACTGAGTCGAGCTGTTCGAAAGCACCTAAAAGAGTTTTCTTTAATTTTCACCTGTCACCAAGCCAGCATTGAAAGAAACTGGTTGTTTAATTGGGTATATACTTCTGTTTGGCTATGTTTAGACTTTAGACTGTTCGGTCATGTTTCAAAGTTTGGACTGTTTGGATTAGCTCCCTCAGGTCCTCTCAGGAATTGAGTCAAGACTTGTTTCTTCAGGCTGACTTGCATGTTCCTCCGACTAGCGGCATGTTGTTCCTTCATGGCTCATTTGTTTGTATGGCAAGTTTGACTCAATCCACACTTTGAGCACCCCCAAGAAGCGCGGCTCACATGTAGAAGGCGCGGCTCCATTCTTCATAGGTCTATATATCAATATATATATAGGATTGACTGTCAGCGCTCACTTCGCCCGAGGATGACGTGAAGATCCAGCCGCATGTGAGTTGGCCAGTCACCCAGAGACCTATGAGGACCTCCAGGCTGTGACGACCGATGAGACCTTTCGACGAGACTTCGACCGCGAGGTTTTCACCCCTCTTCGATGCGGGTGGATGTCATGGACTACAACTGGAACTGCAGGTGGGAAGGATGGAAACGCGGGTGGAAGGACGGAAACTGCGCGGGGATTTCACGGTACCAAGCGGGGTCAACTGGACATCAGGTCATGTTCAAATACCTGGGCGAATTGACCTGACAAGGTTTAAAGTCAGATTGAAAAGAGAAACAACTGGCAAAGTTCGCAGTGGTTCATGTCTTCAAGGGTTTTCCAAAATGATCTAACATGCGTGATGGCGCCTTCACTGAAACCCGATTGGAATACATAACTCTCCTGTTTACCTTCAAAAGATGTCAAAAGTGGATTGCCCCTGATGTTTGTGGCGATAAACGATCGAAAATGCTGGGAACTCGGGACTGCTACAACACCTTTGTCCAGGCATGCTGCGTTAGCCAATGTGACTGTCGTACCACCACTCGCCCATCAATAAAGTTGGACATTGGTTGCACACGGATGCCTGCAAAACAAGAATCCAGACAAGCGCTTGAGGTGGTGCATGTTGCCGATCCGCGTCACAGCCACATGCTGTTGCCAGGTCTTCCGGAGCATGGACCCCCCAGTTGAAGGCCAGGAGGTGGCTTGGCCAGAAGGAAGCACAGCACGGATTTCTACGGGAACCATCTAATATCATCTAATTGTCCAGCATGTGGTGTTCCAGATTGGTCTATTGGTCCAAGAGTCCAAATCAGCCTAACTTACCAAGCCCTTGCTAGGAGCCTAGATGACTAACCCAACTGGCAGTTCCATTTGCTCACAAAAGAAGGGGAATCGGACACCCAGCTCCGCTCCACCCAACACGAAGTCACAGGAACTCTACCCGTCTCCCCGTCTCCCCGTGGATTGGTTTTATGACCCGCCGGAACTCTCGCTCCAAGGCCGGGGATTGCGCCGCCTTCCTTTGGGCGACGAAGGGATCCAATTTGGTCTTCAAATTGGGTGTGGGGAGCAGGCGTGGCACCGTTGGTGTAGCTGGATTTGGTGTGGAGTGCGGTACTGGTACGTAGCAGCTTAAAAGAGTGCCCAGGGGGAAGAAGTTAAGACGAGATGGAAGAGAATTTCTCAGCATCAGGTGGCAGTTGCTGGAGAAGAGGTTCAATGGCCGTGTGCCTTACGGTCGGGGGCACTCAGAGGCCCATCGGTATGACATGTCAGGGGCCCATCGGTAAATATGTTCAGCATTGACTTGACCATTTTGCCACTGGGATCCCATAATTACCTTCGTAGGAAGGCTAGTTCACAAATTTCTTGACGGGTGGCAGTTGATTGTTTTTGGTGAACTTGTTTCAGTATTTCACTGCTTGATCGTCAGATGTCTAAACAGATCAAACACCAGATCGTGGTACAGGTGGCTTCTACTGCAATCGTTGGAAAGAGTTCACTGCATTTTGCAGCTCCTTCTATATGTAGTATAGCACAATAGTATAGCTCATAGCATGCAATCTTTGAATCAAATGGAGGAAATCGTATAGAGAGAGAGAGAGATAGGGTCTTTTGGAGTAACTGTGTAGAATCTGCTCCTTGTGTCCCAGTCTTTGCTGAGCATGTGGTCGCAGTTGGACACGAGGTTTGGTCGCTGTATGCCGCTGTTTGTACCTACAGTATATAGATTTCTCACACACCCAAAACGCTGGTGGAGAGAAAGCTGTCATTAGGAAGTTAGTTGAATCTACCGGGTTGCCCAAACTTCATAGAATGCCAGAGGATCACAGAATCACAGAAGTGAAGAGACTGAAGAGAATGGTGTTTGAATGCAGGCACAACTCGTTTGTGCTTCTTCGTTGACCAGATCAATCGAGAGGTCTCAGCGCGGTACTGGAGACTGACGGGAGACAGCCGCTTTCGAGGATCAAGCAGTTTCAACAAAGAAAGCAAACATGCGCCAAGATGAGATATGGGTGTGGTGACCGTGGTGTGGGTCAAAACCCGGGAACTGTGGTGGTTGACCCTTTTGCCTTACATGAACAGATTCCTTTGGGATGTCAACCGATCCCATGGTTTGCCAAGACCACCGATGCTTGGGCCATGGGAATCTTGCTCATCAGATACCAAACAGTGCTCATCAGTGCTTGGGAATCCTTGGGAATCCTTGCAATAGAATCTGTTATTTTAAATGGATTCAATGTTCAAGCCTTGCAGACTGACTGCAGATTTGCTTTGGGCGCTAACCACTCAAACTTGACAAGGTGTGTTTGCTAAAGCGACTGTTGAGTAGTGGGCAAACTAGATGTATGGCATGGATGATGATAATTGTTTATGTCATATGTGTTCTTGATCAATAGTCATACTTCCTTCCTCAAATTGATGCTTGTGGGCAGGACGACACCTTGAGCGTGTCCTGCGAGATCCTTGAGGCTAATTCAATGAAGCTGTTGGTAGCTTTCTATGATATGCTCATGTATAATCATGAAATTAGTATAATCATCTAATTGCCAGCTTTACTGTGTATATACTGTATGCTGTACATAGCTGCTGGGGCTGGAAAGGGGGAGAAAAAACTGTTGGATGGTGCATCGGTCTTTCATGAAAGTAAGATTGTTTCCAGACGCCCTGGAAATCACGACTAATTCATAACCAGGCACTCAAGGTGGCTTGTTCACCTTAGATCAGCTTAGGAGTTCCTCCTCCACCGGACTCCACCGGTGTTGGATATTCAGCATGTTTACCTTTGACCATCTCCCATTTATTCTTCGTTGGTTCTGTCCAGTTGCCTGAATATTTCCGAAGTGACTCATTTCTTGCATAGGTGGTGTCAATGTCACTCCCAAATGCTTCAGAGGTCTTGCGGGAGTTAGAAGCACCCTTGCAGCCGGCGGCACCACAGCCACCAGACTGGAGGACCATGACCGCACCAAGGAAACATGTGGACAGCGCTTGGTTTGGCGCAGAACATCGACGATCTTCATGTACTACCAAGAAAACCCAAATCCTTTGCAGAAGATCTATTTGTTGAAGCTCAGAGTGGGCCGTAGCAGCATGGAGAACAGCTGGCCGAATACAGGCATGAGATCACAGCAACAAAAGAGTAAAATAAAGAACCCCCAGCGAGAACGTGTGCATTTCTCCACCAACCGTGTTTTGGGTTGAAACATGCTGTCAAATCCTAGAGTCCTCGCTGCGGCTATTTAGAGTGTTCTTTTTCCAGGAAGGCGCTGGAGGAGCAAGGGAAGGAGGTTCCCAAGGTGGGGCTCTTCGCCATGATGGGCAGACCAAAGGAAGGAAACCATCGATGGACTGACTTGGGGGTGTTGGAAAACCTTGCACTACAAGTAGCATTGTTTGCAGCCATTTGTTGATCTCTTCCTTTTGCAAGAGATGCTGCGGAACCCCGATTTCGTCCCCTTTGTTGGAGGTGTTTCCAAAGCCGCAGCCGTGGTCGGAGAGCCGTTCGAAGCACCCGCAACCGCCAAACTACCATGTCATTGCACCCCAGGCGGCCATGCGAGGAGGGGAACATCCAAGAAAATTCCCATGTTGAGGCCATTGCTATTAGGTTGGAGGCCATTCCTATTACTGTAGGAGGCCATTACTATTAGGTTGAGCTTTCAAGGTCAGACCATGCAGATCACCGGGGTTGGAGCGTCCAATCCTGCGTCGCGTTTCGCGTCTAGCTACGCGACGCAGGTCGATCCTGCCATTGCGCGTCCGGGTGTCCCAGGCGACTCCGCGTGTCGATCCAAGAGATTCCTAGAATGAAGGTGATGGCTGCTAGGCCTTAGGCTACTGTCATCTAGCATGTGTGCCAACATCTATCAACAAGAAAGCATTCTAGCCGTCCTCAAAGTTGTAGCATTGGTTCAAATCAGACCGTGTCTTCCAGGAATAGAAAGCAGAAGGTCCACAGACGAAGGCTGAACAGCGACCCTCGACCTGGAACACCCTCCACCCTCCAAGGTGTTCGCGAAGACCCTCCACTGTCCTTGGAAGGTGCGGAACTCTGAGCTTTGGACCAAGGAAGCTTGCAAGGATGGCGGACCAATTTGGACCAATCACTCTGAGGTCATGCATAAGATGATCCTAGTCTATTTGGTCTACCATTTGACCATTCTATGACCGTTGCTTGCGGTGCTTTCTTCGGCAAGCGCTCAGACGGTTGAAGGGCCTCGAGCGCGCCCTCGGAGTCCCGTGAGGTCAACTCTTCTACTCGATGCACATCAACAATCGGCTCTACGACCAGGTCAAAGAGCAAGTGGATTCCATGAGATGTCGCTTGGCCGGGACCCCCCGGACCGAGTCCTTCTCGAGCTGCAACGTTGAAAAATGTCCATGCCAGTGTCCAAGATGTCAGGATGTCGCGTGAGGTGCTGGATAGTCACAGTCTTTGTTCAAATGAAAGCTGCTGAGGTGCAGGTTCAAGAACATAATAAATATATCAGTGGAACATCATGTTTTTGTGTCATGAAGATCTTGTCTCTAGGATTGTATGTGTACTAGAAGATTGCATCATGTGATGACGTCTTAGGTGAAGACGGTGGAGTGGAAGATAGACAAGGCCAGCCTGGGTCATTTTAGCAAGTGCTGTACGATCAAGGCATTTTGTCGTTTCGATTTGTAACGCTGTTGCAATTCCATGGGTAGACGTTGGAGGTGTATGAAGATATACTAAGATATGTGAAGCAGAGTTGTGCCCCAAAGGACAACGGCTCCATGATTCAGTGAGCAGCGCTAAAGATGACTCAGGTAGGCGTGAGGTACATGTCAGCCCTGACAGCAGGAGAGCTGACGTGCAATATATATATATATATGTAATATCAAATCATATCATATAACATCATGTGAACGCACATCTCTTTGAAGTATCTTTAAATTCTTTTTGGTTGTCACCAAGCAGAAGTCCTCCTTGAGGCCTCCATGCTTCGGCCCTGCTTTCCACCTGGAGAAGCGCTGTGCAGCACTGCCGGGGGACAGAGCAGCCAGTTCAAACGGTTTTGGACCCAGGTGGGTATGCGGTGGGTATGTGTCATGTGCAGATCACAACGGCGGTTGTTTGGACTCCACAAGAACAGAGGGGGTTGTGTAGCTGTCTGGTGTTTAATGGACCGACAAACCGGATATTGGAGTTTGATGTCCAAGAAGTGCGTGACGTGCAAATTTGACAAATTTGTAAGGACATCGATGTTGCAAATTACGCCGCAAGCCTCGAATCTCAGTTTGCTTAACTCTAAACGGTCCTTCCCTCCAGTTCTCGCCCTGAAGTCTTCACACCGCCGCCCCCCAAAATCCAATCACCGCCGCCCTTGGATTCTTGGACGCCCTTCGTGCCGCACGTGTTTTGTTCGGGTCGCGGCCACGGGGGGGGCAGATCCGATCGCGCCGGCGGCCTTTCCTTCAGGATTTCGGTGCTGCCGGGATCGAAGGGTTGCATTTGCTCTTCTATCCCTGCGGATACACCGGTGCCACCGACGGCCCGGACACCGAGCGATGGAGCGTTCACGTGTTACCTGGCGACCGGGAGATTGGGGCACTGGCAGCTTGGCAGCTTGGCACGGCCAACAAATGCCAACAAGGCAAGCCATATTAGCAACAGTCGAAGCTGCAGACAACAAACACGGAAGTTGTTTTTCACCTGACCACCTATGACCACCTGACCACGTGACTTCTGAAAACTCCAGCTCAAAAGTGTTTATGTCTTAAATGGTCTGAACGCTTGCTGATTTAGAGGACCCGCACGTATGCGCGCTTGAGGCTATTGCTCGCTCTTCGTTTCTGCTCCTGCCGGGGCCATGATGAAATGTGTGCACGGGTGCCCTGGAGCAGTTCCCCCTCTTGGATGTTGCTAGACCTTGACTTACTTGAGAAACGTTGATAGGAGTCGACATGGAGGGAGAGATGCGTTTGCAATTTAGCCCTTGCCAGAGCATAAGCAGTTGAGTAGAGTACAGCTGGCCACAACATGCGGGGAGCAACAGAGATTCATTTGCTTGGGCACCACCCATGTGCCGGCTTGTAAGTGATGAGGGAAAGCGTCTCGGTTGTGACGCGGAAATCGGACTCAGATGTTAAAACGCTTTTCCCGCTTGTTCTCGGATTAGGACACGGTTTGCTCGGTTGTAACGGTTGTATCTCTCCATCACGACGTTCCCATAGAGTGCAGTAGCTGCAGCAATGACTTCAACACCCTAAACCCATGTTGTGTCGCCAATGAGTCAGTCAGATTTGGTGTCGCAAATGATACCCTTGCCATCTTGCCATTGACGAGGCTCTATGCTGGAAAAGAGCGAAGGGATGCTAGATTGCCTGGCCTGTTATATTATACACCGCAGCAAACATTGTGGCATCGAATGCCATGTATGCATTTGTTAGATATGTTGGAAGAAGTGAGCCACAAGCTAACCTGCTGTAACCTGCTCCTTCTCGGTCAAACTCTTATTGCTTTTCAATGCTTTGCATATTCCTTGCCCCCCCGGGAACTCGGAAGAAATGACACGGGAACTCGGACCTTCTCACAGCCTCCACGGTCGACGGCCAGATCACACCTTCGAGCGACCTGGAGCCTTCGGGCGGACCAACTTCTGCCAGTCAGGGAGCCCGACGCGGAAGGGGTGGGCAAGGACGAGCCAAGGGGGTGGCGGATGCGGAGCCACAAAGAAGTCGTTCTCGGACGTACTTCTCTTTTTCTTGAGATGTGTTCCCAGCCCAGCTGCATCTACAAAAGTCATCAAAAGTCCATAAAAGTCCATTAGAATGGGTTACTGTAGGGTACCTGCAACAAGAATGTGAGACCAGGAAGTGATCAAGCATCTGAACTTTCTTAACTAACCCAAGGTTTAGTTTAATGTGAGGAAAGCAAGTCCGCTCGAAAACACGTACTAGGAAGACTTGCAGACGTGCTTTTCCATGTCATGTGTTGCAGAAGTGTTGCAACAGACACCCCGTGGTTCTGGTTTCACAGAGTCAGTTCTGCTGAGCTTGTCGTTGAACTCATCGGCCCTGACCGATCCCCTGACATCGGCGTGGCCGTCGTTCGTGGTCGTGGCCGCCCAGGTTTGAGACGTGCGTGGAGGATGACAGTATCTTAATACGTTTGGATATCACGGCCTGGAAGCTCAGGGCAGAAAAGACTTTTCATCTCAAACTGTCATGAAAGGGTCGGCTCTAAAAAATGTTCAGAATACTATATGATAGGATGATAGTTCTGATGCTGGTGATATATTCTGTATTGGATCGCATCAGATGGTCGCATTTGACCGCCTGATGTGGCCGACCCGGTGTGGTTCCGTGGTTCCGCCCAGGAGGCGCACCAAGACGTGGTGGCCAAAGTCGCCTCAGCCCCTCCAAAGCCGGGAGAGCTGCGGACCTTGTCCCAGCTCGAGGCCGTCGCGAAGGGGGAGAATGGAGGAGGTGGGCGTTTCCAGGGGAAGTAGATGTGAAGCAAAAAGAACTGGTTGGGGTTAGAATCTTCTAGAACAACGAGGAACATACATGCACGTGTCATGAAGAATCATGAATATAGGATCAGAAAATGCACCTTCTGGAAGACACTGACTGATGGACCGACGTTTGAAGCAGTTGCTGCCAGCTGCCTTAGAAGCCTTCACTTCTTTTGTGGATTTTTCAAAGAAACATGTAGCCCGACGAAGGCCACATCATGTCCCTGAGAAACATCAGGAAGCGCCAACAAAATCCAGGTCAGGTCATGAATTCCTGTTTGCGAATTGTAGAAATCATATATCCAGAATCTACATGTCCACAACTTAGACATTTCGCCATTGGTGCTGGACACGCGTCAATCATCCCTGTTTCCCTGTGGCGATTCGCCCGTGGTGATCGCCGTCAGGGCGTGGTGTCCAGCCCGGTGCAGAGTGCCGTGAAGTTGCGGCGGCAGCACAGCACACTGGAGGACGGCAACTGAGCGGAGGCCGAGCGGACGCAGGCAGTCCACAAGGATCCCTTCCTCGTTGGCGAAGGGGCCAGAGCGGGGGGGGAAGCTAATGTACAGCCACTTTTCGCGCATGTTTGGAAACCCTGAGTGTCTTCATTGTGTACATTTGTTGTGTGGTTCGTTGAGTATTTGTTTACATATTACATATGGTTTTCACATGGACCAAAGTGAACAAGCTAAAATACAATTGCTTTCATTCGTGAAGATGTGAAGATCTAACGTTAATGAGATGCTCTTCACATTGCACCTGGACAGACATGAAAAAGCTTCAGGCACATTTGATGATAAACCGTGAATTCATGGTATTGTTTATTCAGATGATGGTCAACAAATATTACTCCGGTGAAATCTAACGCAGAACCTAATGCCCAAACGACAGAAAGCTAACCTCCTGCATCGTTCCGGGTACCCTGGGGAAGTTGGAATAGGCCGCTATTGTAGAAAGGACACTAACATAGAACTCTAGTGGATTTCTGCCACAGGACTGGACCCAGGATGACAGGAAGGCTTAACATGGAAGTTCAGGACGCCGCAAATATCAAGATATGCTTTGTGGTTTTGTTATGTGTCAATTTTTCCGATTGAACGTGTTATTCACTTGGGGAAACATGGGAACGGCACAGTGTATATACAGTTTGTATTATACCAAACATCCTTTTCCTACCCATGCTCCTCCGCGTCAAACGTATGCTCTGCCACAGAGCCTTTGACCTCTTTGAGGATCTGCTTAGCCATGTCCAGCGAACCCATCACTGAAGCACAGCTAACCTAGAACCTCCTTGTGAGCCAAACTGGCTATATTTCATGCCCGATGCACTTCCACGTTAAGAAAAGGACGTAACAAACAGGGCTGGAAGTAGGGTGAATCGTTGCTAACTTAGACCTTGCCAAGCTTCCACAAGCACATTCAGCCAAGGGACTAACATGGAACCCGTTTTTGTAACTTGTTAGATTTTAGAAGTGTAATGTTCAATCTGATATAGTGAAGTGGGTGGAAATATGTGAAAATGACTACGGGTATCCATGGCTTTCAAAAAGAATTGTCCACGCCACGCCCTGAATAGTTTTTTGCATAGGTGTGTCGGTGTCGGAATAGCAGAAAGCCTTTTCAATGTTCTAAGTAAGGTTTGTTTGTTGATGTAGTTTTCTATTGTTCTGCTGTTGCTCGCGGGCCAAGCTGAGGGCCGCACCGCCCGAGGCGAGGCCGCGGGCCAAGGAGCGAGCGGCCAAGGCCTGATAATCACCGACATTTGCCATTAATCTCTGCTGATAACGCACGCCAGGTGAGCGCTGCGAGAGTGGAAAGGGGGGCGTGCGCTCCCCGCCCCAAACGCCCCGGAGGCACATTGTGTGAACAAATTCAATCAAAATTCCAGGCCGCCTGTGGATGCAGGTGTTGGCACGAGAGCAAAGGAGGGAGGTCGCGCCAGTGCGTCGCAAGGCCAAGGCCTGACAAAGAAAACGCTCGTGAGCTCATTGCGTTGTTGAAACAAACTGTTGACAAAGCAAGCCACCCGAAATAACGCGACGGGTCCGAAGGCCGGACGGCTGCAGCGACCTCCTCACGGCCAGCCGCGTGGAGGAGGCGATGGCGGCCCAAAGGAAAATCGCAATAAGCGCGACGTGATGAGAAACCCGGCCAGGCTGCAGCGGACGCGCTTCCTGAGGGCTCTCCGGCGGCTGCGGCCGGCGGCAACAGGCCGCCTCGAGGAGCCTCGGAGGAGGCCAAAGCCACGCCCGAGGCCAAAGGCCCGTGGCAGGCTTGTGCTCTATGAGCCGTCGTACGAGGACGGCGGAGGACCTCCTGGC